TGATATACAGCTGGGCTTGACCTTGAACTTCTGATTTCCCTGCCTCCACCTCTGAAATGTTGCGGTCATAGTTATGTACCACCACACTGGGCTATATACATCTTTAAACCTAGATTTCGTGTATAGGAGAGAATGAATAATACTTGTCTGTCTTTTCTTGTTTTTATTAGCCTTGTTACCTGCTCCCCCACTATTAGACTCCTTACTTACCCAACAGAATACTCACTCTACTGTTAAGTATACGTATATATGTTTAAGTCTAGATTCTGCATATGAGTGGTAACGTGGTATTTGTCTGAGTTATATTTGTCTTTTTAAAGCTGGCTTATTTCACTTAACTTGTTGATCTCCAGTTACCTCCATTCCCATACAAATACCACAATTATATTCATTTCACTGCTAAACCAAACTGTTGTGAGTGTGCATAGGTATACCACATTTTTCTGTTTGTTTTCTGATGCTTATCCACGGTTTCTCTTTATCTTAGCTACCATGATTAATATTTAATGCTGTATTATCTGATATGTAAGTCGTCACCTCTGAAGTCTGAAGTTTCAGTACCTTCTAGTGCTCTTGCTAGTCACTTTTAAAATCTATTTTTTTTAGTTCTTTTTTTTTTTTTTTTTTGGTTTTTCGAGACAGGGTTTCTCTGTGTAGCTTTGGAGGCTATCCTGGAACTAGCTCTTGTAGACCAGTCTTGAACTCACAGAGATCCACCTGCCTCTGCCTCCCTAGTGCTGGGATTAAAGGTGTGCATCACCAACACCCGGCTCTAAAGATCTATTTTTGATTGGCCTTTCTGACCCTGGAACTTAACACATTGTCTAACACTGTTCTTATGAATGAAGAGACACTACACTCCTGTTGTCTTGTCTCAAGATATATGCAAACTTACATTCAGGTTTTCCTAGGCATCTTTCAGTTTGTGACTATTGTTCTAGTATTACTAATGATGCTGACCCATCTTCTGGCAGAATCACTGTCTCATCTGAACTTGCAACTGCATTTGAGGATTTTTATAGTTGTGGGTTGTTTTTTGGGTAGCAGTGCAAATGTTTTCACTAGGAGTCTATCTTAATTTCTTTTCTTTTTGCTGTGATAAAATACTCTGAAAAAGCAACTTAAGAGTTTGCTTTAGCTCACAGTTCAGGATACAATCCATTATGTTACAGAAGTCACAGTGGCAGGAGCTTTGAAGCAGCTGGTTGCATTAGGTCCACAGTCAGAAGTGAGGAATGAGTAAATGCATGAAAATACTTAGCTCACTTTCTCCAGTATTATATAGTCCAAGATCTCCAGCTGAGGAAATGGTGCTCTCTCGTAGTGGGTAGATCTTCCCACATCCATTAATATAAGCAAGGAAATCTTGCTTAGGCATGCCTAGAGGACAATCTCCTAGGTAATTCTAGTTTTGTCAATCTGACAATTAACACTAACAATCACATATCCCTTGGCCTATCATCTTCTGAAGGAAGCTTCTGCTTCTTCTCATTCTGGGGACCAACAGGGCTGGAGCTGTGGTTATCTTGGTTTATTTTTTTTCATTGCATTTTTCCCTTTTCTTCTTACCTTTTTGGACATCTTCTTATCTTTCTGAATTTTCAAAGTTTTCCTTTATATCTCCCTTTGGAGTTGAGTCTAATTTTTTTTCTTATTACGACTCTTCACCTTCATTGGATCACGCAAAGTTTCAATCTGCCACCATACCCATAAGTCTGTAAATTTCCCTTTATTTTTTTAGTGAGAACACCTATCATATTCAAGTTTTGGTGCTATGTGAATGTATCTAATTTCATCTGAAATCAAACAATTTCTATATAAGTCAATATTTTGAAGTATAGAAAATTAGTGCTTTCACAATTGAAAGTTTAGGGAGAGTATGTTATTCTATAACAAATGGCAACTATGAAATCTTTCTTTGTTAAATATAGCACCTGGTTCTTTGTAAGGAAATTTCTATTTCCTTCTTTTTTCCTAATATATATGTCACAATTTCTCATTACTTTGAATATCCACAATTTAAAGATAACTTTTATCTTCCTCTTTCATCTCAAGTACCATTGGACCTACTGGATTATCATGTCCCATTTGGAAAAAACAGCTTCCAGAGCAGCCCTAATGGTATTCCACAGTCTTCTCTTTTCCAATAACCACTCAAACTCATCAGATAGTTGAGTAACATGGTAAATGAGGTAGAGTAACACATTCAAATCAACAATGTGGTGTTTCTCAAATACAAAGAGAGTCATTAAACATTATGCCTCTTTCTTGGCATAGGAGGGAATTAGTACAACATATTCTTCACCTGAAAAAGACTATCTGATCATGTCCCAAGTCACCAGACCTTCTAGAAACTTCATGGGTAGAAAGTCCCTGAGTAGTAGTGACTTTTTTTATACTCTGTCTGGAAAATATCTTTTTAATAAAGCCTATTATAGCTGTTTCTTCTTGCTTATCAGATCGAATCAACATAACACCATCAATATAATGGATTAGTGTGAAGAAAAATTGATCAAGATGGTGACAAGTTAAATTGAGATAAAGAGCTGATGAGTTGATATGTACTTGATGTGCTTGATTTGGGAAAGTGAGAGTGTAGTGATTAGTGCCATATCAGTCCTTTCAAGGCTTAGAGAATACTGTAGAAGAGGGGCAGAAAAAAATGCAAGATCCAAATGATAGGGAGGAGAGGTGTGAAACACCGTCTTTTTGGTATAACATGCCGTAAAGCTCATGAACTCATAGCATGGTTATCTTCATGGGTCTACACAAGACTAGACATGTCAACATTAAGTCATACTGGCAATAGCCCATTAATGTATATTTTACCAAAGAATATGGCTATTTTCTGCCCATGTCTTAAGAATTGATGTTAGGCTGAATTAAAGACTAATGATCTAATTTATTTGATGGGTGAAACTTCAAGACTGCCTACCATTGAGTCTGTGGCATAGG